GGTCTTATATATACAAGACTACCCCATATCTAGAAGCCCCCCGCCCCTTCATTAACGTTCTAGAAGCGCGTGGCGTGTTATTAGCGTCACGTGACCTCCGCTGTCGTGACATTATATATTTATTTAAAAGTAATAACAAAGAACAAGACACCAAATTTTAATCAGAAAATATTTCAACTTTGCAGCAAGTACCAGTCACACTGACAAATATATTTAACTATCTTGTCTTCAGCATGTCGAAGATCAAGTATGTGATAATAAAATCTCCCGATAGCCACGTTACAGTTTGATTTCTTTATTTCTAGGTGCCAATGGCCCTCCACCGGATCGGACTTTGATCGTCATTCAGCCCTCTAGAATCAGTCTGACAATCTACGCCATCATTGTGACCTTTGCCCTCTTGGGAATCATTATGGCATCTAGCTTTCTTGTTATTAACATTCGTTTTAGAAATCAAAGGTATAAGCTGACCTCTAAATTAAATTATATAATTTGTTAGAGGTATTTCATAAGTGTAGAAACTCAAGCATAAAACATCTACAAATTAAGTATCAAACAAAAAACGTATTAGTGGTTAAAACGTAGCTACTCAAGATCAAATCTCAAGACTCTTTTACTGAATAAAATTTTCAAGAGAATGAAAAACAGTTGCATATTTGTAAGTTACAGTACAAAAAGTAAATTAATTAAATTGTTGGTCTAAATTCATTGCTATTGGAGTATTGTCGAAAGCTATATTTTTGATATTTTGATTTTGGTGCTTGTTTATTAGAGGTTGCATGATGCAATTTCTTGAAGGATCATGAAAGTTAAAGCTTCTATAGAATCTAGAAATTTCATGCAATATGTAGAAATAAGAGCACAGTATAAATATGAGAATCATTTAATTAGCAAGTTAATTGGCTAATCAGTTCAGTGACAGTCAGTGAGTTATTCACTTCGTAAGCTAAACAGTGGATTATTCATCATGTTTGTTAATGATTGAATAATGAGAAACTTCTTGAAAGTAAGTGATTTAAACTTTATTTGTGAGGTAGGTATGGTATTAGTCTCGGAATTTCTATACAAACGTTGTTTGTGAAGTTAGGCCTACAAGTGAATGTAGCTATCAGCAAACGTTATAGGAGAAATAAATCAATTGGTTATGATTGGGTGGACTGAACTTGCACATGTTTTATCAAATAACACCAAAGAACCTTTACAACAATAGAATATATTACAACAGTATCGAACAGTCAGTTGTCGTGAGAGGCCTCACTTAGCAATCGTGATAAATGTCTATGTGTAGCAGTGTATTTATTATAACTAGGTCTAATTTTACCTTTTTTGTGAGAGACCTCACTCAGCAATCATGATAAATGTCTATGTGTAGCAGTGTATTTATTATAAGTATGTCTAATTCTACGTTTTTCGTGGGAGGCCTCACTTAGCAATCAAGCTAAACGTCTAGCTGTAGCAGTGTATTTGTTATAGATACGTATAATTTTAATGAATTACGCATATTTATTTCAGGTATATCAAAATGTCCAGTCCTTACCTGAACAATATCATCATTGTTGGCTGTATGTTAACGTACACCAGTGTTATTCTCCTAGGTCTTGATAGCAGCTTGACGAGTGAACATAACTTTCCATATATATGTGCTGTAAGTTGACATGGTTACTTTATTAATTTATTGGACTGACGAGATCAAGCCTCAGGTTAACCCTTAATTTTCTGACTTGTTTTCATAGAGTTCGTTTCTGGTGCTGGTGGTCCACGTATAGTATGATGTTATGTTTTTGCTTGTTACAATGCCCAGTGTAAAGAAATGACATCAACAAAACGGTGAAATCACTAATATTCTATGTAGGATCTACGTAGTTATTGGAGGGATTAATTGCGATAATGAGAGTTTATTTTTGTTTACTTGTGTGAGTGTGACTCACATGGGTCCCAGTAACCAATGTCATGGATCATAATTGAATAGAGTTGTTTAAACATTTGTTTAACAACAAGTAAAAGCTTGGAATGATCTATCCTTTCATTGGGGGGTGTGTCTTGAGCCAGACTAGTTTCGGAGAATTTCACTCCTCATCAGTGACCCTGGACACTACCACCAATGAAATATCAGACCAAACCAAGCCTTTACAGTAGTGTGGTATCGAAAA